TGAAATCATAATTGGGCCACATGATCAATATGAACAATGTTCCAAATGACATTCTAGGTGTCACTAAGTTGTTTAAGGGAATTATGAGTCACACCACACATTGGTCACACAAGAATCAAGCAATGTATGTACTGAAACAATGAAAAACAATTGAAATGTTACATTTGTTTCATAGTCATGTTTCACACGTTTCATGCACACATGTCAAAACAACATAGCATCCAATCTATTAAAACACAACTATGCAACATACATGTTTCATTAGTAGGTTTCAATTCTATATTTCATGTCATGCTTATGGATGCATAATAATGATTATGCTCATGATTTGCAAAATGTTAATGCATGCTTAACACCGAGGTGTTACAGAGCCCGCCGAGCCGGATCTGGCGGACTTGCGCACGAGGGAGCTTGGGAGCCCGCCGTCTTGGTGGTGGAGCCCGCGCCGCCGTCGTGGGATCCCCGCCGTCGTGCAGGAGATCTACGCTGCCCGCCAGCCCGCCGCGCCGACCCCCACGCTAGATCCACCGCCACGGCGTGTGCCACCGATGCCTGGAGACACGTAGGAGATGGCCGCCGCCGCTGGGCGCGCGTGGGCCCTAGCCACTGGGCACACGGCCAATAGCCGGGCGCGCGGGTCTCCACCGGGGGCCGCGCGGGCGCATCTCCGCCGAGGCCTCGCCGTCACCGGGCCCTCCGCCGGGCGGGCGCATCTCCACCAGGAGAGAGTGGACGTAGGGAGAGAGAGTGGAGGGAGGAGGGAGCTCGTGGGGGAAGAGAGTGAGATGAGAGCCACCGCCGCACTCTTCTTCTGAGAGAAAAGAGAGGGAGATGAGAGTCTCCCAAATCCTAACTGATGCTTATATACATGGAACCTATCTAACGGGCTGCTGGGCCACGCGCGGCGCGCTGGGCCTTGGGTGTATTAACGCAGGCTGGCCTTATAGTGTGGCCGCCTCCGTAAATGGATTTATGGAGGTGGGCACCTTAAGACGACCGTCTCTGAAAATAGATCATTTTTTGAGGCGGTTGTCTTAAGATGTCTGCCTCCATAAATCCATTTACGGAGGCGTGACCCACCTTCGTAAATGTATTTTACGAGGCAGACAATTTTGACCACCTCCGTAAATGGAAACTACCGCCGCCGTTAATCGTCCGGCTTTTTTAGAGGCGGTTAGATTTTGTGACCGTCTCGGTTAATGTTTGGCCATCGTCTTGCAAAATCATTTGTGTAGTAGTGTGATGCCCTATACTAAAGTTGTAGTGCTTGATGAGATATAAAACTATATAGTTGAACTTTTTCTTCTATTTGGGATTGTTTAGATTCCAAATGTTTAATATAAGATCCATAGAAGTTAAGACAAAAGGCTAAAACATCCTATATGTAGCCACAAATGAGTGTGTGGTGTGGTGGTAGGGAGTGATAGTGAGGCAACCCTAGGGACCGCATGCATGCATATTTTGCGTGACCTACGATTAGAGACACACACCCGTAGTTTGTTGCTTGTGGGCTTGTCTCGACTCTATTTTTTCAACTTTTTACGACCAATTTTTATTTTTTGAAAATTAATTTCTAAGGCGGTTGGTGTTTCCAACCACCTATAGAAATCAATTTTTAGGGGCGGTCCAAAATATCAACGGCTCCTAAAAATCAATTTATGGGGATAGTTGCAAACCCCCATCTAGAAGTGTTTTATTTGTAGAAATCCCCGGGTAGATGCAGTTGCCCCTACAAATCAAATTTGAGCATCCCCAAAATGTCTTATGTAGTAGCAATTGATATATGCATTTCCTAAGATTTGAACTCAAAACAGAAGTATGGAGTACAAGTGAGCACATTATATAGTCTAAGTACTAGTGAACACATTGTATAGTCTGAACAGTGTTTCATTCAAAAATGAAAACAATATACAAACATGAAAAATGCAATCTACAACATACTTTTTTCATGGCCTCTTTTAAGTCACAAGGATGGACTAGAATAGAACAACTTTGGCTAGTGGGAAACATAAGAGTGATGTGTGCATAATATAGATGGTTATAGATGAGGTGGAGGGATGAAGGTAGCCAGGGTTTAGCATTGTGGCACTGGCACATGTTGGTTGATGACGAGAAATATGAAGTCTTAACTCATGGAGATATAGATGAGCTAGTAGTTTGAATTTTGCCCCTACTCCTATTGTAGATGGTTTACTAGAGGTGGTTGGTGTAAAACCATATGTTTGATGCCTAGTTAAAGTGGCCATATTTTAAGTGGCAAATGATATGCTCATCAACAATGATATATACATCCATGGTGAATTCGTCAATCTCCATATTTTCCTGTCCAATGACAAATGGACAGGAAAATATGGTTTGTATGGTGTGTTGTGTTGCTTGGATGCTATGGGGCTCAATGCTTTGCCAAGAGAAAGGATTCTAGCACTTTCATTGATGTTGATGAAAGGCCAATATTTTTGGAGGTTTATTTATGTGAGTACTACTTGTTCTAAAATGCCGACCACGCTCTTGATTGAAATATTACATTCACACCAATGGAGCATATATCTATGGTGTTTTTTTTCATAACATGATAACGAGACCTAGAAACATGAAGACAAGTACCAGCGAAGATCAGAACTATACTAATCTACTTGTTTCAAGTGACTAGCTAGTCTTGACTAGAACCCACATTAGAGCAAGCCTAATTATAAAACAAAGTCCTTGTCTATAAGTCAAGTTATAAGAGCCAAGTTATATAACACTTGTCTTATATTTGTTTATAAAGGATTTTTTTATTATATGATACTATTTTTTAACCATGTGTCCCACATTTTTCTCTTTCCTATATTTTCTAGTGGCAAGATATGCTCGTCGACAAAGATATATAAATCTGTGGTGACTTAATTCGTCAATCTCCATATTTTCCTGTCTATTTGTCATTGACATTAATAGGTGTATGTGGTGTGTTGCGTTGCTTGGATGCTATATACGGGTCTCAATGCTTTGCCAAGAGAGAGGATTGTAGCCACACATGTTTTTTTCATTGATGTTGATGCAAGGTCAATATTTTTTCGAGGTTTATTTTTTGTGAATACACTACTCGTTCTAAAATATTACATTCACATCGATGGAGCACATATCTTCTATGGTGGTTACTTTTTATCATAATGATAACGGAAATGCAGTTTTGGGACCTAGAAAACAGGAAGAAAAGCAGTGAGGATAATAACTAGACTAATCTACTTGATTCAAGCAACTAGCCAGGCTAGACCAGATCCCGCGTTAGAGCAAAGTCCAATAATAGAGCTAAGTGCTTGGCTATAATAAAATTAAGCTTTAAGAGAGCCAACCTATACAATTTATATTTTTCTACAAAAGGCTTTTTATTATTATGTGATACTACTTTTTAACTATATATCATATTCTCTTTCTTATTACTCCTCACATCCACTTTCTATCTATATCTAGGCCCACCGTACCATTGTATATCTGTACTCGCTCTTAAGGAGCCAACATCTATATCGGTACAGAGTATCATAGTATCCTTACAAACATAGCGACTGGTGCGAGACCTTTCCAGCCATACTAGAAATGACTAAAGACTGAACTAAACCACCAGAAGTACTTCAGACATCAACAAGCTCCAGGCAAATCATTCCTTGCCATGGGTATAATAGCTGGTTCTGGAAGAGCAGCAGAAACTCTTGTGAGCTGTGAAATTGTGTGAATCCAGACGACGTGCCGCCTGTAAGCATGATCTTGATTCCCTCGAGCACCTTGATTTTCTACGGTGCTTACTTTCTTGAAAAAGGAAGTTGTGCGACTGTCAGGATTATCTCGATCAAGTTTATGGTTGTGCGGCAGTTGCATCTACCATTATTAATTTGCTCCAGAAATGGGTTAACCCTGTCTGGGCCCGAGAGATGTATCGATGCATCATTAGCTAGTAGGAGAAGAGTATTGTCGTTGTGCAACTTAACTGATTCCATATGCATATTGCATATAGAGTAGGATTAAAACACATACCAGCTGTCTCTGAGGGCAACAAGTAGGGTTACACCTCAGTTAGACTAGATTAGAGAGGACCACACACCATACAGCACATATATAAACAACTAATAGCGTTAGGTGTGATACTACTACCTCCTCGATCTAATGGGTGGACATGTTCGATTTAGCGTCCAAAGAATCTAATTAATATATATAATAGAAAAACATGCAAATTATTAGATGTAGCTAGATGATCGATTAAATGCATTTTGGAGATTACATAAGGGGAGCAGCGTACATGTTCAGACAGGGGACGTACGTACGTGTTTTATATACAGTACATACATGGCAGCTAGCCAGGTATACGTATGATGACAGCATGAGCGATCGATCAGCAGGTAATCATTAACCAGCAGCTGCGCCAAATAGCATACGATAATGGCGTCGCCGTCTCAGACTGTCGACGACCTTGCCACCTAAAATATATAACCTTTTCATTCTCTCTTCCTGCTGGCCGCCGGTCAGAAAACCTAAATTCTCTTCTTCCTCCTCGTCGTCGTCATCGTTGTGGTCATCCACTTTAATTCCTCGGCCCGACGGCAGTTTATATAAAAAACCACGCACGTCGCGCCACCATTTCATTGCACTCTGATCCACTGCTGCTCTCTAAATATATACTCGTGTAATCCATTCGATTTATCGATTACACTTCAATTCCTACTTTTGCCCACCAGACAGTAGTCGTCCACCACATAGCCCACAGTCCCACACCACACATAGAGAGCTAGCTCAGCTAGCCGCGCACTACCACGCCACACTCATTACTCGCCACTACTCTTGCATCGCATGCCCGGCGGCCGCCCCTCTCTATCTCGCTCCCACACCTATCTACCATACCTATCTAGCTTAGCTACATACCTAACTAAACTGCCAAGAATTTAGCCAAAGCAAGATCTCGATCGATCCCATATATATATAACAGATCGGACCCCGCCCATGTATCTGTAGATAGATAGATATAGACAGATATGGCGGATCACCAGGAGATGATCCATCCACCAGCGGCTACCACTACGGGCAGTACCAGTCACGGACACGGCGGCGATTGGTGGACCACGGCGGTGTCCTGCTCGCCGGAGCAGCTACCTGCTGGGTTTGGCGCCGCCGGCTGGTCGTCTGCTGAAGGCAACAAGTCGAGGTCCGGAAACGCGGCCTCCTCGGAGTCTCCCGGGTCCAACCACTCGCTCGCCACCGGCGGTAGCTCCGTAACCTTCCAAGACCCTGCAGGTGCCGTCGCCGATCAAGGCGTGGTCGCCATGCCGTCGCACCCCGCGGCGTCTGGTCTCGCCTCCAGCAGCTGGAACCAGCCTTCTTACTACTTGTAAGTCTCATCTACTTAACTTTTGCTTCTTCTCTCTGATCTTTCGTTTGTTTAATTTATTACTCCAGAAATTATACTGTTGTGCTCTTAATTCTTAAAAGTTAATTTATTTATGATCATATGTATGTATGCCTGACCATGCATCTTAGGGACGGATCTGTTGGTTTCCATGGCTACATGAGCTCAAGAAGCGACCAGCAGGTTCATCACCTAGGTCTGAGGAGCCCCTCATCGAATCACAACAACAGCTTGATGCTACAGGACGCCCATGATCCCAACCACCAGTTCCTGTCCAACCTTGGGCTGGAGCTGCTCTCGTCGCCGACTTCGTCTTCCGGCGGGTTCCGGACCTCCTCACTGCTCAGAAGCCTCACGGAGCCATCGGCGGCAGCAGCAGCGAAGACTTCGCCGGGCTTCCTGCAGCAATACCAGCAGCAGCAGACGATGAACCAAGCACCAGCTGGAAGCATCAGGGAGGCTCTGCAGTTCACCAATAGCACGCCGTTTTGGAACCCTTCTGCCGGCGGGTTTGCTTCGGTGGCGGAGGGGGCAGCAAGCTTACTAGGGACTGCCGCTGGACCACCGTCAGGGCAATCTAGGCCGGCGAATTTTGGAGTCAAGGTTCGTGTATATATATAGTTACAGTTTTATTTGCTAATTTTTTCAGTTGCCTGGAAACTTCTTGTTACTTTTTTTTTATAACAACTTCTTGTTACCTTAATCGTCACTGCATGCCACACAGCTTTGTTTGATAATTTTCAATGCCTGAACGGTTTGTGCAGTTGTACTGTGCCTACCGATCAGTACGTCCTGATTGAGCCTGTAACCTTAATTTAGTTTGTTCTTCTATGCATGTAGAGTGCATTAGAAGGTGCCGGAGACTCTAGCAACATCATTGCAAAGAGGACGAACACCGCTCCAACGCCGCCGCTCAAGAAATCGAGAACAGGGACACCATCACCGTTGCCTACCTTCAAGGTATACATACCAACACAATTAGTTTAGATCCTATTTCAACATGCATGGAAAACTAACACCCGGATTTGTTTTGGAATTGAATTGTTTTGCTTAAAGTTAATGTTGTTCCAAGACTAACTATATGGAAATAATGGAATGGCCACATATGTTTTTGCTTTCATAAAGTTTATGTACTCTATACACTCATTCATGTATACTCCACTTGGGTTTTATATATGCTTCAGGTGAGGAAAGAGAAGCTTGGTGACAGAATCACAGCACTTCAGCAACTAGTCTCCCCTTTTGGAAAGGTAAGCGATCCAGGTCTTAATTTGGTTAATGGTCCTGCACTTCCACGCACTACTATATATACGTATTATTCTGGAAGCTGAAAACTTCAGAGTCCAATACCCCAATAAGTCTCTCGTTGCAAAAGGCCCACACCTTTTAACAAATTAAATTCTCTTTGCAAAAAACAAATTATCGATCAACCTCGGCGTGCGTGCTGCTGCTGCACAGACGGATACGGCATCGGTGCTCCACGAGACCATCGAGTACATCAAATTCCTGCACGATCAAGTTGGTGTAAGTGCGATTGATCCAGCTGCTGTGCATGCAGCTCTGGTCCTTTAAGGCTTTAATCATAAATATGTAGAAATTTTGATCTACCAGCTCGCATTTTGCTCACAATTATATTCAATGGGTGCTTTTGTATATATGCAGTCACTCAGTGCTCCTTACCTAAAGAACAGGCAGCAAGTGCCCCATCACAAGGTACTGCTACAGTAGTACGTTCAGTGCTGCTGTATATTCCTGCATGGCTCATCTCAGATAGCCTCATGCTGCATACTTTGTGAACTAACCTAGCTATATACAACGGCTTCCCGATGCGTACGTCCAGGTCTTGAGGGACGGAGGCGAGGCGGCGGCGGCAAACGGAGAACTCACTGGCCGAGGGCTGTGCCTAGTCCCAATATCAAGCACCTTCGCGGTGGCCAGTGAGATGCCGCTCGATTTCTGGACGCCGTTTGGAGGCCCTGCCTTCCGGTAGTAGATGTGTATCATCCGGGAGCTAGGCAGCTAGCTAGCTCTTACTAATTAGAATAATTTCAAAGTTCTAGCTAATTACAATATCAAGTCCTAACTCACATCACATGCAGTTGCTAGTGAGCATATATATAGAGAGAAATCTAGGACTGAAGTATGGAGTATATATATAGTTGAATCTTAGGAATGATTTCTTGAAGATTTGAACTCATTCTTCAGGTTCATACAATAACGAGGTGCCGGATGAATATAGTTTATATGGCAAAAGCAAACTGTAACTCATCATAATTTGCCTTTGTAACAATCAGGTGGCACACACATTGTAACTATACTTTATTATCATAATATATTTAGCACTTCTGTTTGAGCATTATTCTTATAATCTTTAAAAAAAACTCCATTGTTATGTGTGCTAAGTACTCCCTCCGGTTCTCTAAAGCAAGTCGTTTTGGACATCGACACGGTTTTTAAGAAACGACTTTGACTGTAACTTTTTGCTATAAAATATTTATAAAATATAGTCAATATATACTTTTATGAAACTACATTTCGAGATGAATCTACTTATATCATTTTCATATTTTTAAACTCAACCCAAAAGAAGTTATTTATAGTCAAAGTTTAAAATATTTGACTTAAGACAACCTCAAAACGACTTGTTTTAGAGAATCGGAGGGAGTAGAACCCTACGTTTAATGCGTCAGGGACCCAATTCAGCCGTCCTCCTCTTGGGTCGGCCTCTTGGGTTCCTTTCAGTGGGCCGCAATTTTTTTACACAAAACACAGGGAAAAAATCCACCCAAACCAACCTAACGTGTCCCTATCTGTAGGCACGTGTCAAAAATTCTGATTAATTTAAATGCCAGTCTTATTTTGGGTTTGGGCTAGATAAATGTTGACACAAAAATGTGGCGATGTGATCGACACATAGCAAGCCGAATGATCTGAGTAAAACGCGAGACCAGAAATCTACTTGGCTTCAACACAGAACCAGCCAATTCTGAAAACCCAACGACGTACCAGTCAATTTGACCTGCAATTGACAAGGAGAAAAAAATCTTATTTTTTATTTTAAATTGGAACATGTCGGTGTTGCACCAAATGTACGGTTAGATAGCCGATTCAATAAGGCTATCGACTAAATAGTCGATATCCGGTGTATCCATGAAATGAAGATCTTTAAATCAAGGATTATCGGCTAATATTAAATAATAATGATATGAATTAAAATAACCGATACTCATGGAACATCAGAAAGCATCATCGGCTAAATGGAACATAATCGATATAAAAGCGTCGAGCCGATAAGTTTGATGAAAAGAGTATAACATGCGAACAAACCGACTGTCTAATATAAATGAATCTACAAACAGTTTGAATCTAATCTATTATTATCAACAGTGAGGTTCAATTGGATCGATGCAACTATGATAATGATAACAAACTAAAGCCAAAGAATATATAAAACCATCTATATATTGACAGATTCATGAAAACATGCTATATACGTGAGAGTATAGGCAAATCGGCTAAAATAGCCGATGTAGTCATAGCAAACAAATAGAGTACATATCTTGATCTTGAACAAGACCACTAATCGATAATTTCTAATCTAAAGTCTTACCAGTGAGGTTCAATTGGATCGATGCAGCTATGGTAGTATCATTAGATTATATCTCATTAACTAGTGAGTTCATTCAAGATTGAAACATGTCTCTGGATGCATACTATGTTTTTGATTGGAATAGAGATAAAACAGTCGATTTAGCGAAATTAAGTCATCAATTATAAGTTTTAAAGCATGACCAGATCATAGGATGACCAATTAAAATGATATGATGCCGATCTATCTCTATCTCAATCAGGTAATTTGTTATAATTATAATAAGATTGATAGCTGGTGAATCAACCAAATACAGCAAGGAAGATCTTACTAATCTTAGCAGATTCGATAACTAGTGATATTGTATTAAACAAGTTATGTAACACAAGATCGATAACTTTGATCTATATTATGATTCGTAAGAGATCAATCAGCTAATACAGCCTTACAAACTACGATACAGATTGATAACTAACTTATATTATGGCTCATAAAAGATCAATCAGCCGATGCAGCTTTACAAGCATAATACAAGTCGTGACGGTACTCACAAGCAAGCTGGAGGTCGATCAGTCGATGCAGCCTTGTTTGTTGAAGAACTCGTCGAGATCTACAGTACTCCTACTCCTAATGCGATGACGAAAACTGGAAAGATTGTATTGATTGAGTGTTCGTTCTTTTGTACAATAACCAGGGTCTAATATTTATACTCAGAACCTAAATATGAATCCTACTCAAATACGACTCATTACAATTTTTAGAATAAAAGAAAACTTCATAACTTAATAATAACTTGGACCCTAATTTTCCTTATTTGTAGAGTCCGACACATCTTTCTGGCGTCATTCAAGCATAGCCCATTGACGCCGTCTGCTGACGTCATCTATAAAATATCCGATTCTGATATCGCATCTAAATCAGCTGATACCGATTCACATCTAATCGATTCCTTAATGATACAATACTGAAAGCTTCGAGTTCCCACATTCTTCTTTCTAAATTTTGGTGTAAACAACAAAATTGCCAGATTTTTTTTTGCCCGACTCAACCCGACCCTTGAACATGTCTATTCCAGAGGCAAAACCCATAAACTCCAGTGAAGCATTCCATATTTACAGGAACATAGTGTGTAAAAAGACATTAAGATGGAAGATTCAAGAGGAGAATAAAGAAAAATCTGATCTGATGTATTATCTAAATATCCGGTGAGCACAGGACTGAAATTATAATTCACATAGTTACACTTACTGGATAGTCCGGTGGTTGTATATATATCTTGTGATCACTAGAATATTAGGTGTTGAGAAAAATCTCATATTTGCTTTGATTTCCAGGTTTCATTCAGATTGTTATCTATTGTAATTAAGCTGAATATGGCTTGTGGCATGCGAATGCATTCACTGCATGGAAAACTTGTTGGACTGGACAACCCATAGGTTTGGGTCGTTCTTTCCCTGTTATTATATAGAAAAGAGTTGTTATGCTCTCTTTACGGACCGCCACCCCTCACCCCGCGCCGCCGGACCGCCCTCCGCCGCCGGGCCGCCACCCCCCGCCCCCGGGCCACCACCCTCCACCGCCGGGCCCCCGGCTTCCCGTCTGCCCGCCCGGCCCCCCCAACCCCGTGTGCACGCCCCTCTCACACAAGACGGCGGTCTGCCACCCGGCGCCCCGCCTCCCAACACTCTGGCCCACGGGTTGTCCCCCACTGCCAGCCCTCGTCGGGTAGCCCCCCGCAGCCGGCGCCCTCCCCCGCTCCTGTGAGCCCCCTCCTCCCTTCCCCCCCAATTTGGCTGGAGGAGGTGTCTTCTGAGATTTTGTAAAGCTTCCCATGCATGACGTACTCATAATTGTCTGCCAAAGTTTTTCTACCAGCCTAAAAATTATATAGTTTATGTTAATTAGATCTTATCTACACACCTCATCAGCTAAAATGATATTCTGCAACATGGAACATTGGTGGTATCATATAGACCCAAAGCACATTGAGGATATCATATGAACCCTAGACACAGTATTAACTGGATGCTGCATTGCATCAGTCAATATCATTAAAATTTAAGTTGCATGATGCAAATTTCACAAAACGGCTAAATTAATCACCTGTGTATAGTATCCAGTATCTGGAGTGCCATCCAAATCCAGAGTAGGTGCTAAAACCATGTTAAATTTCTCACCAGCATGCATAGGATAAACATCAGTAGCAACATCTAGCTGCATATACATATCTAACTGCTCACTGCGTGCTTCGACACGAGAAACTGTACACATGCAAGAGAAGAACAGAACATGAGCACAAGGTCATACTAGAACAAGGCTGGCAATTGAGCATAGTGAGTTAACTCATAATATCGACGGAAGCTATATAAAGTGAAAAAGAAGTGGGTCATGCTTGACTGTTAGTTTCTTTTAGCTACAGCCTTGTCTTGCTACGGCTGAAATTAACTCTCCTAGATAAAGTCCTTCCTTGGACTATTGTTAGAATGGTTGGGGTTTGTACTTGTCTAATGTACCGGATATGCACTTCCAAGATTGATTTAATTTCAGCAGACAAGTGACATGGCTTGTTTTATGTTTTAATAGGTTACGCAGCCGCTGCTCCCTGCCCCGCCCTGCAGTCGCCGTCCGCCTTGCCCTCCCGCCGCCCCACACCTTCGACTTGCCATGGTTTTGCAAGGTATAAGATGTGTATGTGGTTGTCGGCCATTGTGCCGTTGGTTTGTTGCAGGTTTTGGTTACCTCACCGTGCAGGGGAGATGCTGCTAAAATTTATAATTGACACTATTATGTTCATTTGTTGCAGGAGAGGCTATTGCAAGGATTATTCCCCACCGTCCTCGACTCGTCACTTTCCAGGATAGCAAGGTGAGGCATCCTACACCCCTCTTTCCATATCATGTTCGTATATCACGTAGCCTAGCTAGGTGTCTCCCATTCGAAAGAGATACGGTTGGAAATATGAAGATCTTTGCATATCTATAACCGTATCTGTTTCGAATTGTCCACATTTTTTGGATAGCCTGAGGATGTGTAGATGGAGTTAGTTTCCTTGCTCTACTCGGATCCACGAAACAGATGACATGGCACAAATATGGACGTCGGTACAATCCTGAGAAGCTGGTGCATCCATCCGATGGTGAAACATGGACAAGGTTTGATATGATTCATCGTGAGAAAGCTCTAGAGGCTCGTAATGTATGTGTTGCGCTGGCAACAGATGGGTTCAATCCTTATGGAATGGCGGCTACCTCATACACTTGTTGGCCCATGTTTGTTATCCCTCTCAATCTCCCCCCTGACATCCTCTTTCAACGACAGAACATATTCTTATCGTTGATAATTCCTAAACACCCAGGGAATAATATGAGTGTGTACATGGAGCCTCTGATTGATGATTTGGTCCGTGCTTGGGAGGAAGGGGTATGGACATACGACCGAGCTACAAAGACAAACTTTAAAATGTATGTTTGGTACCAGTACTCCCAGCATGACTTTCCGGCGTATGGGATACTCTGTGGCTAGTGTGTTCACGGGAAGTTCTCATGCCCAGTATGTAAGGCGTCTTTGATGTTCATTTGGTTGACGAAGGGTGGCAAGTATTCTTCGTTCGACAAACATCGACAATTCCTCCCTCTTAACCATCCATTCAGACAAGACATCAAGAACTTTACGAAAGATGTAGTAGTTGAAGGCACTGCACCCCAGATGATGATTGGTGCCGTGGTTCGTGCTCAGTTAGACGCTCTCGAGGTCAATGACCAAGGAGATCATTTTCTGGGATATGGTGAGGAACATGCATGGACTCACAAGTCGTGCTTGTGGAACCTCCCCTATTTTGATGACTTTCTACTTCCACATAGCATTGATGTAATGCACACTGAAAAGAATATCGCCGAGGCAATTTTTGGTACAATCATGGACATTCCTGATAAGACAAAGGATAATGTTAAGGCTAGAGTGGATCAGGCGAGGTTATGCAATAGACCAAAGCTAGACATGGCGCCTCCTAGAGGCGGGAAGTCATGGAGAAAGCCTAAGGCCGATTTTGTTCTAACGAGGGCCCAAAGGAGGGAAGTACTAGAATGGTTCCAAATGTTAATGTTCCCTGATGGGTATGCAGCGAATCTAAAGAGGGGAGTGAACTTAGCTACTTTGCGAATCAATGGGCTCAAGAGTCATGACTACCACATATGGCTTGAGCGGCTACTGCCGGTGATGGTTCGAGGCTATGTCCCTGAGCATGTCTGGATAGTGCTGGCGGAGTTGAGCAATTTCTTCCGCCAGCTTTGTGCTAAGGAATTATCTCGTACCGTGGTTGCAGACATGGAAAGAATGGCGCCTGTGTTGCTCTGCAAGTTGGAGAAGATCTTTCCACCTGGCTTCTTCAATCCGATGCAACATTTGATTTTGCACCTCCCGTATGAGGCATGAATGGGGGGGGGGGCTGTGCAGGGCCGTTGGTGCTATTCAATTGAGAGATTTCAAAATGTTCTTCGAACTAAATGTAAAAATAAATGCTAAATTGAAGCATCCATAGCAGAGGCATACATTCTGGAGGTGTCAAACTTCACAACAAAATACTATGCTGACAACCTTCCTAGCGTGCATAATCCACCCCCTCATTACAATGCTAGCGAAGATGAATCGAACCTTAGCATTTTCCGAGGGCAACTAGGAAGTGCAAGTGGTGCGACTAACAAGACCTTGAAACATGAAGAGTGGCGCACTATTATACTATATGTGTTGACCAACCTATCCGAAGTGGAGCCGTACATGTTGTAAGTTCTCAACAAACTTTTTCTCAAGTAGTCACAATTCTGTGTCCAACTCCCTTGTTTTTCGTTGGTATAGGGAATTTCGTGAACGATTCTGGCATGAATCAAGGGAACCTACCCCGCAGGAAACTTCGAACCTTCTTAGAGAGGGTGCGGGAAATGGAATGCCCGATTTTATTTCTTGGTTCAAATAGAAGGTACTATCCATTTTGGCTCATACTTAGTTTGACATTACAAGTTGCTCATACGTGCGACTAATATAACAAACTACCCCGCTTGAACTTGTAGGGACAAACCGATGCGTCTATGAGTGCTGAGTTGAGATAGGTCGCCGATGGTTGTGCCTATAGGGTCAGGTCATTTACCGGTTATGTCGTGAATGGATATGGCTTTCACACAACATGCCACGAGCAGAGTCGGCCCAATCGAAGAACCACAAATACCAGAGTTTTTACGCAATGCTTAGATGGGGTTCAGTATTACGGAAGAATTGAAGAAATATACGAACTCATGTTTCATGGTTGCAAACCTCTTAATCCCGTTATATTCAAATGCCATTGGTTTGATCCTAAAGTAGTGAGGTGGACCCCTAATCTTGGGCTAGTCAAAATTCGACAATCATCCGTCTTACCAGGAGACGATGTCTATATTGTGGCTCAACAGGCAACACAAGTTTATTATCTCTCATACCCGTGCCAAACTGTAGACCGTCTTAAGGGTTGGGATGTTGTGTACAACGTATCGCCACATGGTAAACTACCTATCCCAAACAATCAAGATTACAACATAGACCCCAACACATATGACAGAGAGTTCTTTCAAGATGATGGGCTCGAAAGGAGTTTTGAGATAGACTTAACCGAAGCTCATGGTATGGAAGTAGACAATGAAAGTGGTGCTGATGAGGACGCAGGATACGAGGTTCAGAATGTGAAGGACTTAGAATTACTTCAGCGATTACATCTAAGCAACGACGGTGATGACGACATTCCTCCTTCAGAGCACGGGGATGATTATATCGACATGCGTGATAGTGATGATGAGACCTATGATCCAGCTAATCCCGATGATGATGATTATTTCTAATACATGTATGATCTGAGCTAATTGATTTATTATTTGTCATACCATGTTATTTTCTAAGTATGTTTTGTTTATTTTGCATCTATTTTGATATATTATTTGTGCTAATTGGTTTACTATTTTTAATTGCAGGTGATTGAACAATGGTGGGCGGTATGAGGAGGATAACGTCGCTTTACTCAAAAGCGACAGCGATGAGTAAAGGGTCTGATGCAGCTGAGGGGTCCGGGAAGAGACCTTGGGGTAGACCCAAGGGTCGAGGGAAGGGTGGAGGCAAGACGAGGCCACCGTCACCTGTACCTTCATCGCCGTCCGAGTTACCTTCCGCTCACTCATCCTCTGAGGAGGAGGAGGTACAGTGGAGGAGGAGGTACAGGTGGAGGAGGAGGTACAGGTGGAGGAGGAGGCAGGGGTGGAGGAGGAGGTAGGGATGGAGGAGACAGGGGTACCTCTTCCTCTACTTTGTCGCGTGTGTGGTTGCGAGGTCCCTCGACCCTCCCGAGGCGACCGATACCTCTTGAGAGATGCCCGCTGATTCGACACAATGGAGACAAGTTAATAACTTTATATGTTATCACTAATTTTTTGTTTGATATGTTCAAAATTATAATAGAAACTAATAATGTATCTTAATCACTTGGGTAGGGGTTGGAGGAAGGTCGGTGGGGGTGATCACGCACGCCATGTGAACGGCATCCTTGGTCTTTTGATCAAGGAAAAGTTCCCTGGCCTGGTGCAGTTCGGTGGAACTGTCGAGCCAACCTACACGTGGGCCCACTATGCTGCCGTCCCCGACACCACTGATCCGGATGGCAGGTGTTTCGCTGACAAGGCGTAGCATGTCAAGGCCGAGCTTTGGGTAAGTCTTTCTCGCACTACATTGCTCAATACATCGCATTGATTGGATATTCTTGAAATAATGACTGGATACATCGCGTCTATATGCAGGATTTCTTTAGATGCGAGGAGGGATACGAGGCCAAGGCGGATGCTATAGCTGACAAAGCCACCAAAAAACTTGTCAAGGACATGCACTACGAGGCGCGCATCCAGGCCGTGATCCAATACCACGTGGAAATTCTTAGATAGAGGATCCCTAAAAGGGCAGCAAGAACCATGAGCCTGACCTCGGAACAATACCTGATGGTAAATATAGAACATTAATACTTAATTTTTTTGAGATTAATTACGCTTAATTTCATCTTCTTATATGTCATATACTTGATGACGTAGGTGCCTCCATGGTGGTGCACCTACGATCTGTAGTGCTGGGCTCGAATGGTGGACAGGTGGTGCGACCCTGCGTGGGATGAGAATCACAACACTTGCTAGGAGCGGCGTTTGCTGATGCCGGGTGCACCACACCAT